TCCCTCTTCCAGTTGCATGGCATCGAGCTCTCTCTGACCCGGGCTGCCCCTCAGCCTCCAGACCAAAAATGTCCGACGATGTCGATTCCATCGTCAAAGGCGCCTCAGCTCCTACGCAAGGAGCCAAAGATGTCGCCAGCGCGAGTCCCATCCTCCCCTCCACCGCCAAACAGGGCGATCCGCTACATCACACGCCGAGTTCCCCGTCCATGATCTATCTCAACCTGTTGATCCTCGAAGCTTCGCTGCGCGCGCAATTCCTCGAACTACGAGCTCGGAAGCGACATCATACTTTCTTCCTCACGCTGCTGTCGCTGTGGATCGCTGGTTTTGGATATGCTCTCTTTCTCGCACCGCGTGAGGACGGTCGTGGTGTAGGTGGTTCTATCTACTGGGCTGTCGAGGGTGCGGAGAAGGTCTGCTTCATGGGCGGTATCATCACTGCGATACTTGTGTGGGCGACTGGGATCTGGGAGCGTGGAATTCGCTGGCCAAGACGATGGTTCGTTATTTCGAATAGAGGACTACGGGGCTTCAACTGCAAGCTGATCATAATACGACGGACGTGGTGGGCCGAGGCACTCTCGACGATTGGATTCTTCCTGACGTACGGACTCTTTTCACACACGGCTAGTTCATCGTATCGATACGTCGAACCGAGTCTTCTGCGAGAGGTGGAGAAGGAGCTCCAGATCACGAGCGATACACACCCGACGCTGATACTGCCCCACGAAGATGAGGAGAAGGGCGGTCACGAGGAGGATCTAGCGCCAGGCGGGGACTACGTCAAGCTGCTCCTCCTAGCGAAGCCCTTCTCTGCTACGTTCCGCGAGAACTGGGAGCTATACAGGACAGAATACTGGGAGAAGGAGAACGAGCGCCGAGCTCTGCTGCGGCAAAAAGTCAAAGAGCGCGACAACCAACTCGTCAAGCAGCAATACGGCTGGCTATGGTGGCTCCCCGGCCGCCAGCCGCGACGCCACGAGCCGGAGAAGACACCACCGCGCCCCATCGCCGTTGAGCGCGAACGGCGTCGTCGCGGAAGTAGTGTGCGCCGCGCATCCACAAGCTCAACACGAACACCCACGCCCATCGTTGAGGAGGAGAACTCTGTTAGTAGACGACCTAGCAGCGGGTCTATGTCAGCGCGGCGCAAGAAGTTGTCTACGAGTTCGAAGCCCAAGAGGCCGGGGACAGATTCGAGGTCTGTTACGCCGGACTTTCCGTCGCCGTTGGCGAGGGAGAGTAGTGTGACGGATACACCTGATTCTGGACCTGAGGGGGGGAAGGTTTTAAGGAATTCGAGTTCGAGATCGACTGTTGGGTCGAAGGAGCGGGATTAGGGTTCTTGAAAGCGATGTAGATGCCGTTTAGTGTAGGTTGGCGATGTTGAAGAATACCATGGTTCTTGCTGGGCTTTATTTGATGTGAGGTTGTGCACTGTTGATCAACCACATGTGGCTTTCTCCCAGAGCCGCCATTGTGTGATTATCTCGGCCGTGAATCACGCTGCATGAGATGCGCCCCCAACTTTGTGAGGTGCTCGTTGACAGCACCCTTGTTGGTTGTCTTCACATATGCAGATGGCCATATTCAGAGTGAAAATTCAACTGGTGGTGATGTATGATAGGCCGATGAGTTGAGGTTGCAATCAGTGAAGAATCTCACATCTGTGCTTGTTCCCTGTCTAGCTTGCCAATTGAGTTTCTTGGGAGATATGAGCTGCAGTGAGGAGCGAGTCATTGCATGCGAGTCATTGCATGCGAGTCGTAAGCAAGGTAGGGTAGGATAGCAGGATTATGCAGAGTGTCCAATGATACCAAGGTCAAGGTCCGATGAGACCTCATGTCGAATACAAGTTCAGTAGTGACACAAGACACTTTGAATGGTGTTGGTAAATCGCATTGGTCTTATAATATTGGCATTCTGATGCCGTGGAACTATAAGCCTTCTAGCATTTTCACTAGAACCATTACCATCGGTCTAAAGAGTGCCGAGAACGTATTCCCTATTATTCAGAAACCAATGTCACTCTTATCTCGCATTCTTATCTTTCTCGCTATATAGTCCCGAAACCATACTATAAAATGTGGAATAATCGAACGGCAGTAGAATGAAAAAAACCCGCACCATCGCCCGGCACCCGTCCCGAAATCGGCCGCTCGGCATCTCCGAATCGATATCAGAAAACAGCATTTCCGCCAAATCCCATTTCTCGCCTGTGCCTACGCGCCAATAAACACAATGATAGTATACCTACTGAAGCAAGTAACAGTCTCATGACCCAATTCCAAAGGAAATGCAAGTCCAAGTCCCGTGAACAAACCTTCCCCGCGATGTTCAAAGCTTGGCCCATATTCATTCGGCCTTTCACCGAATGAATAAAGCAAACGAAACGAAATACGTAAAAAAACTCCCCATCCCCGGAGCAGTATTTCCCAAACCGGCATCATGATACCCGCCGGGGCCCTCTTGGCCGGCGGCCTGCCCTATCTACAGTGGAGTTTATGCCGCTCCCTTCCTATTCCATCGTACAATAGCAACGTAACGCTGTGTAAATACTAGTATAAGCGAAAATCTGGGGTAGAGTAGATAGTATGTGCGAGTACCGTTATCGCTCTGGAGTTGTTAAAGTTAATTTGTTGTTTGCTATCATGGTAAGAGATCATCCGGTAGATAAGACTAGACTAGATATTTAAGTATAAGCTGTCTGCCCCCTTCGCAAGTATGGGAGTTTGGAGTCAAGCGAGTTTATAGTTCCGCAGACCTGAGTAGACATTGCCCATCATGTTCTTCAACTGGGAAAAGTTTCTCTCGCCAAAGCCGTCTCTAGACGTCCCTGCTCTAGAGACGGTTGATCTCAACGACAAAGAAATGGAGAAGAGAATCGTGAGAAAGCAAGATCTTCGAATTATGCCTTGGGTCTGCATAACATATCTCCTCAGTATGTCTCCCATAACCCTTCTCGTAATTCATTACTGACAGATTAGACTACCTCGATCGTGTCAACCTCGGAAACGCAAAGACTCTCAACAATGACTCGCCAGAGCACAACATCGTCTCCCAACTCAACCTCACCGGTCAAAAGTACAACATCGCCGTCGCTCTATTCTTCGTCCCCTACGTCCTCATGGAATTCCCCAGTAACATTCTCCTCAAGTACTTTTCGCCGAGTAAATGGATTTCACGAATCATGGTGTCTTGGGGTATTGTCACCATCTGCACTGCTGCGGTGACGACATATGGTGGATTGTTGGCTGTGAGAATCATGCTTGGACTTGCTGAGGCTGGTTTCTTCCCTGGGTAAGTGGTAATTTGGGAGAGAGTGAATGAGTGTGTGCTAATGAAGGATAGTATCATGATGTATCTCTGCTTTTGGTACAAGCCTGAGGAGAGAGCTACGCGAATGGCTATCTTTGCTTCGAGTGTTGCTGTTGCGGGTGCTTTTGGTGGAATTCTTGCGACGGGCATTTCGTTCCTGAACGGAAAGGCTGGTCTGGCTGGATGGCAATGGTGAGTTTGTCACAATCCCTTCTAATGACACATCTAACATGATAGGCTCTTTGTGCTTGAGGGTATTCCCGCTGTCATTGTCGGAGTCTTGGTGTGGTTCTTCCTCCCCGACTGTAAGTCTCTAGCCCAGAATATCCCTTGAATAGTATACTGATCTGTGATAGACCCCCAAACCGTCTCCTGGCTCTCCCCCGAAGAACGCGCCTTCGCCGTCAAGCGTCTCGGCCCCTACGCCCCCTCCATGAACGACAAGCACTGGGACAGCAAAGTCGCCAAGGACACCGTCTCCGACCCCTTCTTCTGGCTCTTCGCCGTCGCCTACTTCTTCATGGCCAACTCCCTCAACGCATTCGGCTACTTTGCCCCCTCCATCGTCTCATCGCTCGGCTTCAAGGGCTACAAGGCTCAGCTCCTGACCGTCCCTCCTAACGTCTTTGCTGTCTTCATCATTGTGGGCAATTGTCTGCATAGTGACAAGACCAAGGAGCGCTCGAAGCATGTCATGGGTGGGTTGGCGTTTGTTGCGACGGGGTATTTGCTCCTTGCTGTTGTTAAGCACTGGGGGGCGAGATATTTCGCTGTTTGTATTATTGCTTGTACCAACGCTGCTGTTCTTCCCTTCGTTGCTGTGAGTTTACTCCTTCTCGTCACTGATTGCATATACTGACTCGCACAAGCACCGAACTGCCACTGTCCGAGGCTCAACTGCCACTGCGCTCGCAACAGGAGGAATGATCGCCATCTCCAACACAGGCGGTATCACAGCACCTTTCCTCTTCCCCTCCAGCACAGGACCCATGTACTCAATGGGCAACTGGACCGTTTTCGCATTCCTCATCGCTGCTGCTTGCATCACTGGCTACGTGTGGTATGTGTTTGGTGCTCACAGTGGTTACCGAACTGGTGATGCTACTGAGACTGGACACTTTGAGGTTCTGGATGTTGGTGACAAGGATCCCAACCAGGTCATGGACCAGGCTATGGAGAATGAGAAGGCCAAGGATAAGATCAAGGCTATGGATATGGCTTAAAGTTTGAGATACCTTACTTAAAAGTTATGATTGACGTACGAGATACCTGGGTACAAAATATTTACATATTGTTATTATGAACTAAAGTTTCGTCTGAGATGCACCAAAGTTTTGCCATGGATGACTACTTCGTGAGTATAAGAAGCTCGGTTTACCTAAGACTTTGAAGATATTATGATGACTTTAGGGCAGATTCTATAAAATCTTCTACATTTAGGTTTTTTACCTTTATTATGACCAATATTTGAACACTTTATACTCAGTTCAATAAAACCTTGGCTACAATGTATCCATACATTACGCTTGCCTGCCTTATAAGCTTTTGCATCTCATACTTTAAATGACTTACACTTTCCCACCATAAGCAGGTATTAATAGGAAGTTATTCCTCTGTTAGTCTCTTCTTCCCTCAAGATCACTCAACTATAATCAGACCCGTTCAACACGATCGCCAACATGGGATCTAATCTCGGGCACTCTATCTATCTTATGCTCTCATCGAGCCTCCTTGGCGACGCTTCTATCCGTATTCGTTCAGCGCCGGGCAAGGAATCGACGTTGCTACTTACCCAAGACGATGCTCACTACGAGGACGATGCAGAAGACGAGGCCGATGACCATTACGAGGACTTTGAAGACGATGCTGAAGACCATAGTCACCCCGAAGAAGACATCGAGCTGAAGAACTACCTCGACGACATCGCAGATGCTCTCAAGAAGCAGTCAAAGAACGACTCCGAGATTGCTGAAGGCTTCAACGAGAAGCTGTCCGAGATGGTATACGGCTCAAATATGATCGAGGCGGTCGGCAGCAGCCTCGACATCACAAGCGAGCTCTGCCGAGATATTTTTGCTGGGCGCATAGGCGCAGACGATGTTGAGATCAGCGATAATGATCCCACTTATAAGGCTATTCAAGTGGAACTCATCGAGAAGTGCAAGCCTAGTGCACATGAAGACGTGCTCCGAACCCGCCGCGAGGTTGTCCAGCACGCAAAGGCGGCCTACTACATGATGAACGAAGTCGCCATCAAGGGGAAGGATCTGTCCGAGGAGATCATCTTGGAGACGCACCGCCTTTTGACGTACAAAATCGACAGTCCCGACGGTGTTCTCTCCAGCGAATACGGGGGCATGTATCGAAATTGCCCAGTCCAGCGAGGCTTCAACTCTTTCCCTCACCAGTCTACAGTCCCAAAGGCCGTTCGAGATTTGACCGAATCCCTCAAGGCTGATATCACAACAGCAGAGGAGAGCGGAGAGATTGACCCTGTGGCTCTAGCAGCCAAATACTGCCATAAATTCGTCAACATCCACCCCTTCCTTGATGGAAACAGCCGAACAAGTCGTCTCATTCTGAATACCATACTCCTCAAGTATGGAGGCTGCTTCGTTTGGTTCGGAAAGGATGCAATAGAGCGTGAGGAGTATTTGGATATTGCGGCAGAGGGATTCGCTGCTGCTGAGGCTATGGCTGCGCAAGAGGAAATGGATGATTTACCAGAGGGCTTCAAGCCAAAGCATCACAAGAAGCTGGCCACATTCACTCTTAAGCATGTATACAAATTCCTTAGCATATTCAAATGATGCTTGTCAGTTCTCTTCAAAGATCATCATAAGTTTAGGAAAGTATTATATGAAATAGGTAAAATTCCGTAAGATTTAGACTATCTATTGTTTTTTATATAATCCTTTTCTAAGTTTAGAGTAGTAATCCATGAGATTACCTGGGGAGGCAGGTCAGACTAGCCTGTGAATGTTGGAGGCTCACAATGTAGCCTAGTGGATGGTGTCTGATAGTAAATCCTTATACTAAATAAGGTCTTGTTTTGATAGAAGCATTGGGAGGAAGCGTTTCTCCAGCTTACGAAGCTAAAGGCTTCTGTATCTTATCGTGTGTATCTGGAGATTTGGTGTTGGGCACGACGATGATGTGGACGTCGACCAACGCAAAGCCGACCTTCAGTTCTACTTGGCAGATAAATCAGCTTATAACCTTTATACACGCTCAACAATCGGTAGCAGCTACTGGTTTTCTAGACCCCTATATCTAAAGCATTAGTAAATAGATACTCCATTTTATTCACCTAAGATACCATCATCGCGTTTACCTCACCGCGTCCTGCAAGCTTACTCTTTATATCTGAATGGCAGACACTCACGACAGCATTTCACATCATGGATCTATGTGAAGCCGACCTTAGAGAGTAAAGCAATCTCTGTCTAGCTCATGTCCGCATCGTAAATGATTTCCCGGCTGTCGAGCCGTCATCACTGAGGATTAGTTGAGCGTCTCAGCGGATTGCAACAGGGGCATTGCCCGCCAAACAGACAAAGCATTCTCCAAAGCGACTATTTGTGCCGGGCCTATACTACACATGCGTAGTCATAACAGCAATAATAAAGTTGGCCGTCCTTCAAGATAAGGTAGCACCTACAAAATTCCCCGGCTAGTCAAAGCTACAGTGTGGTAGTCAAAGAGTCATGACACTGCCGAACTTCAGATTCCCATGTTCGCAATCCTCCACGGAAATAATTGCCGCGAGTTTTAGTGCAAATCTAACTGAACAGAGTTTGGCTGACACAAACTTTCAACGCCGAATCCCGGCAACGGGCAAGTGGCTTGGAATGAACGTTGCCGCAATTACTCATCTTTTTGAAGATGAAGACAGTCACAGAATCATGAGCTGAAGATTAATGGATGTATTTACTGTGAAGAATATGTAGTGTTGTGGTTTCGTAACACCGGGTATAGATAATAATGTGTATATGAAGAAAAGATCCTGTTGAGTCGTCGTCATGTCTGTGTCCTGATCAAAAACCTCGCGTCGCTAGATGTATTTCCGATGAAGATTTCGATAATCCCTCACTTTCGTAATGATGTCCCTTTGACGTCCCAATCGTAGATTCAGCAAATGACTTTCCGCCCATGCTCATACCGTCATCTTCTCCTCGTTCTTCCCGTTGAACGATGACCTCTGTAGTCATGACAACTTCATCATCACGGGGTGTTTGACGAGGAGTCTGTCGCTCATCACCACCCATGACATAAGCTCTATAAGATATATCGCCAGGCGGCTTGTCAACATTATTGCTGATGAATGTATCAAGCGCAATATTGGGCTTGTTTCCTGTCGTCGTACCAGCAGTGTGACTCCGTGGTCCGGAGCTGCCATCTTTATTACCCGTCGTCATTTCAACAAGACGATTAAGAATAGTGAACTCTAGCTTGAGTTTTGTGCTATACACAAAGGCTTTGTAGGATGTTTGGTACTGGTACTGATTGGCGTACTCAAGACCTAGAATGGTGATGTCGAGAAGAATGATGAGGATGTTGACGTAGACGAGATGGTTCATGAGACGACGACTTCCACGCTTGTTGCCCATTGTGCGTTCCAGACGCATCATCTTGACTGTTTCGTAGATGTAGAAGCACGAGATGATAATTTCTTGTATGAAGAAGACGGTGACTTGGATCTTCTCCATGACGGAGTATGGTTCCTTCCACATAGCTGTATTGGGTGAAAAAGAGCCATAGATCATGGGAATAACAGCTCCATGCATAAGAACGCCATTAATGATGATCATGTACAACACCGCCTTTAGCCTGAATCTATTCCTCAGAACGAGATGCAGTCTTGACCATAGCACGAGCGACTGGCCCGAGACCATGGCTACCCATCCTACCGAGATGAACGTCGAAGCAAGATATCCCAGCGCTGAAGAGGCGTAGTACTTGATGAAGAAACCACAGCAGTAGACTGCAATGCCCCATGTTGAGACGAGGAATGACCAGAAGTAGAGACCGGAGTGACGCTTAAAGGTTCCAAAGATGATGAAGTTGAGCTCAATGACGTTGTAGAGCGATATGGCGAGGAAGACGAGAACGACGGTTATTGTTGTCTGGGATATGCCTTCAAGGCCTGATCCAAAGCCATTTTTGGGCATGGCTGTGAGTTATTCTCCAAAGGAATGGTAGGCCGTTTATTTCTGAAGAGGTAAACATGGGTAGATATAAACGAGAAAAAGGAGAATTGACAGGCTTTTCAACATGCATCTTCCAAGTTTCCCATGCCTGAAACTCTACAGTCTTATTATTAGTTCTTTACAAGCTTTTTTGACCGCTACGTAATATAAACGGTCTAAGCACGGAGCCTATACCGTAAAGACTAAAGAACCAGGCCTCATCGCAAACTCTCACGAATCGGAATCGAAAAGAGCGAGTCAGGTCCCGTGCCGATCTAGTACTCGACAGGGCTGATCCCATGGGATTGGGAGAGAGACAAGGTTTGCGCTAAGTGGACTGTTGTAGATCATGGCGGATTCTGGGGTTAGTGGGGGATATGCCGTGTGAGGCTTGCATCGTCTGCTCGGTTATTGGGTGCTGAAAGGATAATTGTGATGATGGAGTGGTCACTGTGGTGAGAGAGTTTTGTATCCCTGATGATCTGGTTGAGATTTCTGGAAGAACTTTGTTGGGGTCTGTCATTGGTGATGTTGTAAATGGAGAGTTATGGGGGTGTCAAAACTGTAAGACTGGGTTTAATAAAGGATATCTCGCTTACTACCGTCCTGGTACTCAACACTACGGAGTGTCGATGGATCTGATAACTCGTCAAAGTTGAACCTCAGACCTCAGCCAAGCTAAGAATCCTCTGCCGATCACTACCGCCAAACAGGAAGCTATACAGAGCACTTGATTCAGCCACATCAACCCCATGCTTCTTCCCCGCGATATCTTCAGCTCTTGGCACATTGGGACCTTTGCCATGGTCACGACAAGGGTTCTTGCAAGACATGGCTTGAAGAAACCTTGCAGGTAATTTTAGCACGTAAATTGATGTGCAGCCTCGTTTCAATGAAGTGCATGAAGAATCTTCACGTGGAGGAGGAAAAAGCAAAGAGTCAAAGCCCTGGATATTACGTGCAGATAACTTCTCAAAGACGCCTTTCTCATTGTTCAATTCCTCGGCCGTTATAATACTGCGATCGACGACAATGCCTCTACAGTACAAACTCATTGTTCAGGGGAACTTGACAAAACCACTCATCTCACCTGCAGCGTCCGACCCCGGAAACAGTGTCTACCGGGAATGCCCACATCCTATTAGTTAGTCTACCGTTACCCGTGGCTTGTCCCTTAGCGTCGTCCGCCCTCTCCTGGAAGATCTACATTCCACTCTTTCGTTTCAGCTTCATTCCATTTAGCTCACGATCGGAACGGTTGTCCGCTTCCCAGGAACCGGTTCTGACACTATTGTGTACTAGCAGTGGTCTGAGCGAGGACGAGACGAAGATCACCGTGCTCGGTCCTTCGGTTAGGACGACGATATGCGGAGTTTGTTGATCTCTGTAGGAAAGAGTTAAAGCTAACATGTCAACATGTGAATACAGGCAGATTCTTGTGATGTTATTCGAGAATGACTCGTCTTAAGTTTATTTGTCTCTAGTGGTATCACTTTTTGCATGATCTGATGCCCCTGGTGTTGATCACAATGCAGATCCGGGGAAGAGTCCCAAGGAATGAGAAGCACATCCATTGGAAGGTCATGTTCTTTCTAATCTTGTTCGACATTGCATTGAGCCGGTGTGCTGGGTAAGAATGGACCTTTGTTTGACCGAGGGGATCTGTGCGGATTGCAGAATACTCGCAGCAAAGGCTGTATCCAATGGCCAAACGCTTTCAGACTTTTGCCTCAAGTAAGAATATCACTTCCGCAGGTTTTATAAGAACTTTAAGCCCGATAGGCTCGTTGGGCGGCTTGCTTTGGACCCCTGATTCAGAGTCTTGAACTTGTGACTTTGAGGACTGGGTGCAGCCACTGAAAGATCATTCAAAGGATTTAGCTTATGTCGTATATTCCTAATATGGCACTTATACCAATATACCATGTAGAGCACCCACGCTGCAACAGTATCTCCCTCGATTCACCTATTGTGCTTAACCATAGCTTCAACAACAACCCTCTCCCCCTCCCCCTCAACCTGCACAACAACACTCCCAAGAACATGATACCCCAACTTCAAATACAGCCCCTTTCCCATAGGCGTAGCCAACAAGCTCAAACTCTTCCCATCCTTATTCGCCTCTTTCTGTCCCCATTCACATATCATACTAACTGCTCCCCTCCTGCGAAAGTCAGGATGTGTGACTACCTCCCATAAAGGAATTTGCTCTGATCCGAATTGCTTGAAATACTTCTTCAGACCGGCTGGAAGGGCTCTTGCATACTCTTCCATGTGCTTTTTGTTTGCGTCGCGACGTTCGTTGAGGCCGTGGTTTGTGATTGTTAGAGAGTTTGAGATAGAGGGTCATACGAACCTCCTGGTATGAAATCGCTTGTGACTTTCAAGTCCCATACTCCGTAAGAAATAGGCTGATGGATGACCTCTCCATCATCAAGCACAGGCGCTGTAACTACCAGGATAGCTAGCTTATCAGGTCGTTCGAATAATTCCTCATGCTCTATTCTTGTCCATTTCCAGAAGTCTTCTGGATACTTATCACGGTATGGAAATCTGTAGTCTGTACCCGGGTCATCTGTCGATCCGTTTACTGCTATCCAGGTTATATCGTTCAAGTCATCTATGGTCGCGCGGCGAAGCGTGAGAGGGGCGTTGGGGATGTGCTTTGAAGATGGGCTGATTGGACCTCCTCCCATGATGTTGAGCGACTGAGGGGGCGAATATTAGTAGAAAAGTATTGGGCGCGTAAATTGAGAAGCTAATGGGTTCTCGACGGCTAGTTTAAGGATATAGTTCTTAATTCGGTATGGAGAGTCCTTCTCAATAGAGGATCAAATAACTAGCATCTAATTCCGCTCCGGCCAATTCTCACCAAGTAAGCATAGTTGTGACGTCTTTGCTACGAGTTTAATAAGCGCCTATTCTACGGTTGTATGCATATCTGAATGTGCCTCCTTCTGCATAAGGCCGAGCATGACGTTACCTGATAAGATCATATTCCTAATGTAACAGAAGATGAGGATGACAGGAAAACGATAGATATATTGTGGCGGACTTAATCTTGCATCTCCCTTATACTCATCTTTATATCAATTACATCTTAAAGTAAGATAATTTGTAACTATAATAAAGTGAATACCTTTTTAGGACAACTGGTGAAGTTGATGATAAGCTAGTATTGTGAAAGAGAATCTGATGGTTTCTAGTCCAGTAGAATACCCGTATCAAAGCCATTGTTTCGCACTTTTTCAGTGCAATTAAGTCTATCTTTCCCTTGTTCATCTTGAGTAGTTGATAGTCTACCTGGCAGAACACACGCTTAGAGACAATGCTTTGTCTGGCTTGAGGCTCTCATTGTTTAGTCCGAACAGCGAGCCTCACACAACAGCACAACATGTAAGTGAACTCGCTGACCGTTCGTGGAAGCATTACTCTACACAGCATCAGGATTGAGGATCGAATTGAGGACCAAAGAAGCAGCTTCTCTCATAAATATGCTTCTGAATCCCAAGATGTATCTCTCATACTCAATCTCAACCTCATCCCACACCACCACAGCGCCATTCAGGTATATCCCCCCGATACCTGATATCAAACATGCCTTCCTTCAAGAACATCACCTTCGGAGTCGAGCTGGAGCTCATGACCCCCCTCCCCAACTCCCAACGCATGTGGCGCTTCATCTCCCCCTGTGCAGCAGCACGTTTTAACATGGCAGACCTCCTCGCAAAGCGAACCTCCCTCCCCATCGCAGCACAGTGCTGTCATGCCCCAGATGACAGATGCACCATCTGCTCTACAGTCCCCAAGGAGAACCAAGTCAACGGTGACTGTGTGTTGCAGTTTCCAGAGATACTGTCTTGTGGAGAGGTTATCTCGGAGCGTTGTTTCATGTTCAAGTCTGAGTTTCTTGAACAAGTTCATCCGTTGAGTCTTCAACGAGATTGGGATGGTGTCGAGATTACGACGCCTGTTTTTCACGCTGGTGAGTTGGACGGTGGGCTTGATACTATGAAGACTGCTCTGACGAACCTTCGACAGTTAGATCTTGAAATCTCTGCTGATGATTCATGCGGTATGCATGTCCATGTTGGCGTTGAGTCGGGTATGACTATCCTTCTCGCCCAGAAGATCACAACTTTGGTTATCCTTCTAGAGACAACTCTTCTTCTACGCCTCGTCGCGCCTCCGCGCTGGAAGGGCGCTTTCTCTATGCCCATCTACGAGAATTCATCTCTAGCGATGGACATGTACCTCCACAAACCCCCCGAAGACCCTACCCTCCTCAACCAGCATGTTCCGTGCATGAGCACCATGAAACCAGGTAAGTGGAACAACTGGTATCCCAAGCACATCTACAAGATGCTCTACGGCGTATGGGGCAGCACCATCCTCGCCGACCTAAGTATATACCTCAAAAAAGCAGGTAGGCACCGCTGCGGCTTCGCCCTGCGTTTACGAGATCTCGGTGTGGGGAATCTTGAAGGGTCTCGCTCGACTGTGGAGTTTCGGTACTCGCAGATGACTTTCGATCATGAGCTTTTGAGGAACTGGACGGAGATTCTGGCGAGGATTGTAGTTATTGCGCAGGGTGATGCGGAGGACTTCAAGGGGTGTGTTGAGAAGATTGTGAGTATTAATGGGAGGGATGATAGGGATGTTTGGAAGGGGTTGATGACGGATATTCTGGGGCTGGGACATCGTGTTCCGCAGTGGGAGGAGCAGTTGAAGTGTTTTGAGAGGGGTGAGTATGTTTCTCATCTTGATGATGAGTTTCTTCTCAAGTCTCTTTGATTGCTAACCTACGGAATGAGTTGGTGTTGATTTTTACAGCTGGCTGTTGATTTGGGAGTTCAGGTAAGTCAAAGGTAAGTCAACTAACGAACAGGTGGTAGTTTACGGATTGAATATATTGGTGAGAGAAAATGAATAATTGAAGTGCAATTCCTTTGCATATCCACACTTAGCAAAGTAAACTGTGAAGTCTCATGAAATGGTACAGGGTATGTTGACGCCATCACGATCTCAAAATGCAACCCACCCATCAGCCTAAGATCTCAGATCTCCTTGGCAAATGCTTAACAATTGAAATATCCATTAAAACATCTTCAACAATCCTTCGGCCCAATTATTAAAAATTCCGTATCTCCCTATTATCACCGTCCACATCCCGAGATGTCAGTGTAAATCGTCGATGGTCGACGTGGCTGTCGTGATGTCATGTCTCAAAGCAGGGCATCATGAATATCCCGATAAGCCAATCATCGTGATTTGAATGGTAATCGACACTCGGCCCTCAAGCCTTGTTCACCGCGTCATAGACAGAACCTCACCAATGAATCAACACTGGATCTCGATGGGAGGCTGGATGCATGACAGTCCGGGGAAACAGTGGCTTTGTATATAAGAGTGACCTCCATCGTGAACTACCACAGTAAAGTCTTGTATCTTAGTTCCTTTAAAGATATAAATCGATAATTAGTAAAAATGGCGCCTTCAGCAACAGACACCTCCTTCGCAGCCCACGTAGCAACCCAATTCCAATCCTACGAATCAGACCGTCAAGCCACCTCCAAAGAAACCCTCTACACCACCTCCAACGGCGTCCCCATCGCTCATCCCTACGAGACCCAACGAGCCGGTGAAAATGGCCCTCTCCTCCTCCAAGACTTTCACCTGATCGATCTCCTCTCACACTTTGACCGTGAGCGTATTCCTGAGCGTGTAGTCCACGCAAAGGGAAGTGGAGCGCATGGATACTTTGAGTGTACGGACCCGTTGGATGATTTGTGCCTGGCGGATATTCTGTCGGAGAAGGGGAAGAAGTGTTCGGTTAGTATGAGGTTTTCGACGGTGGGTGGGGAGTCGGGATCGCATGATATGGCGAGAGATCCTAGGGGTTTTTCGGTCAAGATGAGGACTGATGAGGGTGTAAGTGAACTGAGTAAAGTGTTGTGGTGAGATGCTGATTTGTGCAGAATTGGGATATGGTCTTCAACAACACGCCTGTTTTCTTCTTGAGAGATCCCGCCAAGTTCCCTCACTTCATTCATACTCAGAAGCGAGACCCAAGTAAGTTTATTAACGATTTAATCATTGTGTATGTTTGTGTGGCTAACGAGTAAGGCACTCATCTCACTCACGCTGACGATTCATTCATGTTCTGGGACTACCTCTCCCAGAACCCCGAGTCAATCCACCAAGTCATGATTCTCATGGGCGATAGGGGGATTCCAGCTAATTACAGACAAATGCACGGCTATAGCGGACATACCTTTAAGCTCGTCAACAAGGCCGGCGAGTGGGTTTATTGTCAGATTCATCTCAAGTCGATGCAAGGTGTTGACTTTGTCACCCAAGAGGAATCGGCCGAATACTCCCCTGATAATTCACAGAAGGACCTCTACGAAGCAATTCAGAATGGAGACTATCCCAAGTGGACTCTTGAAGTCCAGACCATGACTCCCAAGGAAGCCGAGGAGTTGTGGGAGAAGCAAAAGATCAACGTCTTTGACCTCACCCACGTCTGGCCTCAGAAGCAATTCCCTCGTCGCAAGGTCGGAGAGTTCACTCTTAACGAGAACGCAATCAACTACTTTGCCGAAGTTGAGCAAATCGCCTTTAATCCCTCTCATCTTCCTCCCGGCGTTGAACCATCGGCTGATCCCGTTCTTCAATCCCGACTGTTCTCTTACCCAGATACCCACCGTCATCGTCTCGGTGTAAACTACCAGCAATTGCCTGTTAACGCAACACGCACAGGTTATCAATTCGGTAACTTCCAGCGCGATGGCCAAATGGCATTCTATAACCAGGGCGCACGACCGAATTATCTTTCCTCCATTGATCCTATCAAGTTCAAGTCTCGCGCCGTGGATCTCGACAAGACTCATGGACAATTCACTGGAGAAGCTATTACATTCCTTACTGAAATCCGACCAGAGGACTTTAATGCTCCCCGTGCACTTTGGAGAAATGTCTTTGATGAGCCAGCCCGTGAGCGATTCATCAACAATGTCACCGGCAAGATGAAGCTGTGCAAGCAGGAAGAACCTTTGAAGCGACAGATTGCTATCTTCCGAGAGGTTGATCCCGAGATTGCGGAGAGACTGGAGAAGTCTACTGGTATCAAGGGATACGATGGAATTGCCAACATGTCCTTTAATGGCACGCACAATGGTATGACTTCGGATGCCAAGAAGAAGCTTGCGAATGGAATTGTGGATAAGAACAAGAGTCCTGCTGCTCGCCAGGGTGCGCCTGGTTCTGGGGCTCATGGCAGTTTGGTAACAAATGGAAAGTCAAACGGTGTAAATGGACATTAAATAGTTTTCAATAGCGTCAATACCATCCCCCCATAACAAATCTCCCTCCAAGTCCACCCTCCGTCCTCTCCGTATGTCCCGTCCCCGGTCCTCCTCCGTGCGGGGCCGTCTACTTCCCCTCCTCCTTACCCTCCGCCCTAGGAGCCTGCCAACTACAGCTCGGCGGCGCACACGTCTCAGCACACTTGACGCACGCGAGCTCGCTCTTCCTGAAGCTCCCCTTGATGATCCTCTTGTCGTCAAAGGCATATCTCGGGCAGTGCATCGTGGGGCCCGCGTTCCGCCCAAACAGCCGTCGCTGGTAGTCGCACGCTGAGCCCAGGTCGTCCACGGCGTAGAACATGTCGATGTAGTGGAAGGCCTCGCCGCCG